ATAACAGGTAGGTCGGTGAATAGCTTCCCTTAATTGGGGCTCGTGAAATAGGGATCCTGTACGTAAAGAATTTCAACCTCCACCAGGAAAGAAGAAAGAGTCACCTTCCAATTCCTGGAAGTCCAGTAAAAATGATGACTCTGGTAAGGAATGGGGGGTTGACAGAAATCTAAACTTCGGCGGCTGGACAAACAACCTCAAAGACATTGGTGGTTGGTCCAGTTGGGGGACTAATAAAGTTCAGACAAACGAACTACCGCCTTCAATAACACATAAAACATAACAGGTAGGTCGGTGAATAGCTTCCCTTAACTGGGGCTCGTAAAATAGGGATCCTGTACGTAAAGAATTTCAACCTCCATTAGGAAAGAAGAAAGAGTCACCTTCAAATTTCTGGAAGTCCAGTAAAAATGATGACTTTGGTAAGGAATGGGGGGTTGACAAAAAACTAAACTTCGGGGGCTGGACAAACAACCTCAAAGACATTGGTGGTTGGTCTAGTTGGGGGACTAATAAAATTCAGACAAACGAACTACCGCCTTCAATAACACATAAAACATAACAAGTAGGTCGGTGAATAGCTTCCCTTAACTGGGGCTCGTGAAATAAGGATGGTGTACGTAAAGAATTTCAACCTCCATCAGGAAAGAAGAAAGAGTCACCTTCTAATTCCTGAAAGTCCAGTAAACATGATGACTCTGGTAAGAAATGCGAGGTTGACAGAAAGCTAAACTTCGGCGACTGGACAAGCAACCTCAAAGACATTGGTAGTTGGTCCAGTTAGGGGACTAAGTTTAAAACCCAATTGGTTTTACTTGATTTGGTTGGGATGAATCACTATTTACAATTACTTATACCCAAACAGATTGTTTTCTGCACATTTTTAAAGAAATTGACGATTCTCTTAGTATAAAAACTAAAATTGTAACCAGTTCTAATGATGCTGATTTGTTATTTTTCGGATTTATACCCAAAGAGAACAACACTTCCTAAATTACTGTGTAACACCAGTTTTCTGGATAGATTTGAATGCACCATGATATTCACAAACATTGGTGGCCAAGTAGTCCTACGTAACCCACGTTTCACTCACAAGATACACCATTATTTTAAATATGATTTCAAAAGTTAAGATTGATTATGTTTCCCAAAATATTACAAATTGAATATTCAAAAGTTGATTTTAAAATAATTCCAAATGACAACAAAAATTCAAATAGTTATACTTTTCAATGAAATACAAATAGTAGGTCGTAACAACGAATGATGCATAGCTAAGTGAAACACAACATTGCCTACATAAGCTTCATTTTTTCACACATTGAGTAGTCAAATCGTGGAGAGACTTGTCAGTATATGCGGATGGATTGTGAAGTCATGTGACCTGGTGCCCTTATTTTGTGGGATTCTCAATTCAGAAACTCACATGGTAGCAGTGAATTCACTGATTTACCTTACAGTCAGCATGCCCTTATTTTGTCCGTATATGCAGATGGATAGTGAAGTCATGTGACTTGGTGCACAGGCTTTGGTTTTCTCGATTTTTTGCTTGATTTTTTTATTACAGTGACAACTCATCTGTTATTGATTTATGTGGGATTCTCAATTCAGAAACTCACATGGCAACAGTGAATTCACTGATTTACCTTACAGTCAGCATGCCTTTATTTTGTCCGTATATACAGATGTATTGTCAAGTCATGTGACTTGGTGTACAGGCTTTGGTTTCCTCGATTTTTTGCTCGATTTTTTTTTATTACAGTGACAACTTATCTTTTATTGATATATGTGGGATTCTCAATTCAGAAACTCACATGGCAACAGTGAATTCACTGATTTACCTTACAGTCAGCATGCCCTTATTTTGTCCGTATATTCAGATGGATTGTGAAGCCATGTGACTTGGTGCACATGTTTTTGTTTTCTCGATTTTTTGCTCGATTTTTTTATTACAGTGACAACTCATCTCTTATTGATATATGTGGGATTCTCAATTCAGAAAGTCACATGGCAACAGTGAATTCACTGATTTACCTTACAGTCAGCATGCCTTTAGTTTGTCCATATATGCAGATGGATTGTCAAGTCACGTGACTTCGTACACAATATTTGCTTTTCTCTGTTTTTTCAGTCTAGTGACAACTCATACCTTGTTCATATATGTGGGATTGTCATGCAGAGGCATCTTTCTAAAGCCGTTCATAACCAACTATATAAACGACTAAAGGTGAAGACACAACCTTACAACTCATTTCGCCCTACGAAATTATCATTTATTTGTTTTAAAAAATTAGCATGACTACATGGTTCATGGGAGGGAGTGGGAATTGCAGAGGTGGTAGGAACTTGCAAATGGGTGACAGTTCACGACGAGGAAGGGGAAAGGGAAAGGGGAAGTGGCGATGCTGAAGATGAAACACCATTTACTTTGTTAGATGCCTCTTGTGCTTATCATGATAGGTTTGGGAAGTGACATTTTGTCATGCCCAAGTACTATCGAGATCCATGTGGTTTGGTGGAGGATCCATCAGATAATCAAACAGGATATGGTTTAGCAAATGCTAGACTTCTGAAGTAGCCTGCACTATTTATAGAGTGAGTGCAAATGGAAAGATTATGTCGGGAAAATTGACTGAAGGTGCCAAAAGCACGTTCTGTTGAGATCCAAAAGGAAGATCCTGATAATGTTGATCGACTATGTGAAAGACTACAATGTGAGATTTCTCAAATGCGCCGAAGGTTAGCCCGCGATATGCAGCTATACATAGTTAAGAAGGATGCCCAGAAGAACAGAACAGAACCAAATGTTGCGGCTATCAAGGGTATCATGGAGGATCCTGAGCTTGTCTCTGACGCTGAGCTTTCGGATTATTCAGACTCTGAGCCACCTGCTGATTTAAGCGCGAATTAGGTGTTAATGTCTACACTTCGGCAATATTAGGTCATGCATTAATATGTAATGTCTTTGTTAGAATAAGTATAACTGTTATGTTATGTTTATGTTTATGTTTATGTATTGTGTCTGTCAAATGTTGCGGCTATTAATATGCAATATTAGGTCATGAATTAGGTGTTTGTCTGTCTAACTATTATGTTTATGTATTGTGTGCTCAGTTCAGGGTGTCCAGGATGTATGTAATGTGTGTTCAGTTCATGGTGTCCAGAATGTATTTTTGTGGGAGAATTATGTCTGTACTACCTATGTAACTGAAAACTATTACATTTGCAACTTCAGTTATGTTGTTTTCATGCCTGTATGAGTATTTAGTAAATTAGTGACTTCATATATTATGTATTAAGTTTTATTACAAAAATGTTGACAAAATTTATTTTAGGAGCTCTCGCGGTGGCCTTCGTCTTCTTGGCCTACTCCGCGGTGGTCTTCGCGTCTCACCCTTCGTCGTTGCTCGTTGAGCTGCACAGTGTGTGGGTGTGCTTCGGACTGTAGAGCAAGCATATGACCTTCTAACCCAAAACAAAGACGAAACAAAAAAATAAATTTTTTTAATGAAAACGGGGACAAAACGGTTTTACTAAACTGGTTTTTTGAATTACATTCTCATCTTCTAACCCAAAACAAAGACAAAAGAATAAATATATATGTATATTTAAATGAAAACGGCTTTAGTAAAGTCAAAATAATTTTCTGAATAATACCTTCTAACCCAAAACAAAGAAAAAAAAAATTTATATGAAAACGACTTTAGTAAAACAAAAAAAAAAAATTATTAATTACATTATCACCTTCTAACCCAAATCAAATACAAAACAATAAACAAAAACAATTTACATGAAAACGGCTTTAGTAAAGACCAAAAAAACTTTTGAATTACATTTTCTAAACCAAAACAAAGACAAAAGAAAAAATAAAAAATTTAACATGAGAACGGCTTCAGTAAAGCTAAACAAAATTTATGAATTACATTATCACCGAAACAATGACAACAACAAAAAAATATTTACAAAAAAAAAATTAAATCTAATTTAAATGAACAGTGAAAGTGTGGTTTCAATCCATGCTTCCAATAGTAAACAGTGAAACCGTGACTTTTGTAAATGAACATGATTGGCTTAATAATATCTAAATGAATATGATTTTAAAATTATATATATGAAAAATATTATGTAAAATTAATATATGAAAAGAGGTTTTTCCCATATTATGTAAAATTTCTGAATTACACCTTCTAAACCAAAACAAAAACAAAAGAAAAAAAAACAAATTTTAACATGAAAATGGCTTTATTAAAGCCAAAAAATTTTTATGAATCACATTATTACCAAAACAATGACAACAGGAAAAAAAAAATATTAAAAAATAATCTGCTTACCAAGAAATAAATAAACACTAAAAGAGTTTTTTTAACAGTGAAAACGCTATTATGAATAGCGTTTTTTTAATGCACAGTAAAATCGCTATTTTAAATAGTGTTTTCTTCAAAAAAACAAATCCACAAATAAAGCGCTATTTATAATAACGTTTTATTCAGAAAAATCTTTTTATCTTAAAATCGCTATTCTAAACAGCGTTTTCTTAATTAAAATCGCGATTCACAATAGCACCTTCACTATTCCTCAAGTTTTGGACTCTAAATAGTAAAAGCGCGATTTGTATTAACACTTTAACCTGATTTAATAAATCCGTCAAAACTAAATCTAATTTAAGAAAACAAAAGCCCTTGCAAACGGAGCCTTAGTAGGTAGGCCTAGCGTGGTGTCGCCTCTTTCGGCCCCAAAGCCCTTTGCAAACAAAAGCCCTTGCAAACGGCCCCAAAAGCCCTTCCCCAAGCAAAAGACCTTGCAAACGGAGCCTTAGTAGGTAGGCCTAGCGTGGAGTCGCCTCTTTCGGCCCCAAAGCCCTTTGCAAACAAAAGCCCTTGCAAACGGCCCCAAAAGCCCTTCCCCAAGCAAAAGACCTTGCAAACGGAGCCTTAGTAGGTAGGCCTAGCGTGGTGTCGCCTCTTTCGGCCCCAAAGCCCTTTGCAAACAAAAGCCCTTGCAAACGGCCCCAAAAGCCCTTGCAAACGGAGCCTTAGTAGGTAGGCCTAGTGTGGAGTAGCCTCTCTTTTGGTAATGTAATGACATTGACGGTAGTCTACATCCATGGTTGATGGTTGGTGGCAATGGTGTTGCCGAATCACAGTGAGCTATCCCCACGCCACGCCTTTTAGGGTATCTGGATCACCATTTCGCCACCACTCTCCAGAACAATCAAAGTTCATCATCATCATCGGCATTTTCATTTTCATTGTCATTATCATACAAATACAATACAGCTTGCGATCTCGAGGCGAATTTGAGCAGAGAGTGTGCTGAATTAGCCGCTCATCCCCAACACCTACACCAAAACCTAGCCAAGCTCATAATCTCATGGATTTCTCGATCAATTGCAGCTAAATCCACTCTCCACAAGCTCAATCTAACAACAATGTCCCCATGTCAGTACTACTCACTGAAACCCCCATTTGATTGAAAGGCTTCTTTCTTACCATACTCTGTTGTTTTAATTTTTGGGTTTGATTTTTCAGATGAGATTCAGAAGATGATGAGCGAGGATTTGCCTCAGCTTGCAATGGAATTGAGCCGAGTTGAAAATATTCGCAGATATGCTAGTGAGTTTTGGATTTGTTGCTTTGCTTATTTTACATATATAATTTTTTATTAATCTATGCTTTTTATCTTCTATGTATATATGCTAATATATAAATTTGGTTGTTGTGACATCAATCAGTCTCTCTGATTCTTGAATTTTGGTTCTTAAGAATACACAAATCACCATGGTTGGGATATACAATGCCAAAATATGAACTTTTCTTGGTTTGTCTTTTTGATTGATGGGTTTGCTTCAGTGGACTGACTACTGACTTAAATGTTTCTTCTAAAAAATAAAAAATAAAAAATAAAAAATAAAAAATAAAAAATAAAAAATAAAAAATAAAAAATAAAAAATAAAAAATAAAAAATAAAAAATAAAAAATAAAAAATAAAAAATAAAAAATAAAAAATAAAAAATAAAAAATAAAAAATAAAAAATAAAAAATAAAAAATAAAAAATAAAAAATAAAAAATAAAAAATAAAAAATAAAAAATAAAAAATAAAAAATAAAAAATAAAAAATAAAAAATAAAAAATAAAAAATAAAAAATAAAAAATAAAAAATAAAAAATAAAAAATAAAAAATAAAAAATAAAAAATAAAAAATAAAAAATAAAAAATAAAAAATAAAAAATAAAAAATAAAAAATAAAAAATAAAAAATAAAAAATAAAAAATAAAAAATAAAAAATAAAAAATAAAAAATAAAAAATAAAAAATAAAAAATAAAAAATAAAAAATAAAAAATAAAAAATAAAAAATAAAAAATAAAAAATAAAAAATAAAAAATAAAAAATAAAAAATAAAAAATAAAAAATAAAAAATAAAAAATAAAAAATAAAAAATAAAAAATAAAAAATAAAAAATAAAAAATAAAAAATAAAAAATAAAAAATAAAAAATAAAAAATAAAAAATAAAAAATAAAAAATAAAAAATAAAAAATAAAAAATAAAAAATAAAAAATAAAAAATAAAAAATAAAAAATAAAAAATAAAAAATAAAAAATAAAAAATAAAAAATAAAAAATAAAAAATAAAAAATAAAAAATAAAAAATAAAAAATAAAAAATAAAAAATAAAAAATAAAAAATAAAAAATAAAAAATAAAAAATAAAAAATAAAAAATAAAAAATAAAAAATAAAAAATAAAAAATAAAAAATAAAAAATAAAAAATAAAAAATTTAAAATTTGGTGCTACTGTAAATTTCTCAAGTATTCTTTCATTGTTAGTTCTCGATTTGACATTACACATTTTGTGGACACATCCATTTCATAAATTTCGTAGTTTGCCCATTCATCAATATAGCATGAGACCAGTTTCATATGAATGTCTTTGCATTATTTTAGACTAGATAAACTTATGTTACTTGAAACATGGATTGTTCCGGTGAGTGGAATGGGAATAAAAAACTTGGTATATCACATGTTGTAAATCTAAAATGTGGCACAATAAGACTAAAATTTCTATAGATTTTAAGATACTTCTAGGGTAATTTTCTTTTCACAATTAGACATCCAATGAAATATACTTTAGTTTTTTTCAACACATCTCTAGGAGCATTGTGGTCCATTTCTTTAATATGTCTCGCCAAAATTCCAGCTTTCTTAGATAGTAGTTCATTATATTTGATTCATTTCCTCCTCAGGAAATGTTTAAGGAAATAAAGAAACAAGAAAAAATATTGGCATGCTTTGAATCACTAAATTCAGAGTTTTAGAACGAAAATGTTCCATGTTTTAGAAAATGCTTTCCAAACTGTAAATCACTTGGGTATTAGTGTGAATTGTTTATTATTATATTTTTTGTAGCAGATAAACTGTAATGATTATTCATTCATTATAACAGAATTCTTGAAATGTCTTGAACAAGTTAATCTCAAAATTTTCATCAAGCAAACTGATTTAGAAAATGATTGCTTCACCCAAAATTCATTAGTTATTGGTGAAGTTACAAAATTTTGCCATAGAATTTGCAAATGAAATGTTTGACTTTCTTGATCATGGATTTGTTGTTTTACTATTTTTCCATTCCATGTTTAAGTGAGTGATATTTTACATGATTGTGTGCTAGGTTATGTGGAGTCTTTAAAATAAATCAAATACCCATGTCAGACCCCTGACACTTGGACGAGGGTGTGGAATATGAGTTTGATACTTTTCATCGGATACTTCTTATTTGTTTTAACACTATTATTATATGTGTATATTGTTGTATATTTGCTAATGATATATTTGAACGAATTCTGAGTTTGCAAATTGTTCTTAGGCCAAGTAATCCTCAACTAAGAAGCACAAACACTTCTAAGAATGTTAGACACCAATATTACACATTACTCATTGGACACTTCTTGACACCTAGCATGTCCAAATATGTGCTACTATTATTTAAAATTTTCTAGACTCGGTCACGCTTAAGACACTTGAGGAACATGTGTCTATCATTTAGACACACATGAAACACATTACAAGTTTGAATAAAATAATTTGGAATCTACATATTCTTCTCCTTTAGACTATAGAAATTAGTATTGCTGCATGTTGTTATTATCTTTTAGTTAAATATTCAATACATGACATATAATTGTTTATCCTTATATATGACATACAATAAATTTATGAAAGTATATCTTTTGTGTGTGTCCCTCACTTGTTATGCCCTATATCTTTTGATTTTTTTTTTATAAGTGTGTCTGTGTCGTGTCACATGTTTGTGCCAATGCTTGTTAGATCCTCAACTCAAAATTTCTCACGTACATTCATCATTGTAAAAAAGCTGTCTAATCTATATTGTCATTTCTGTATGTGCCCACCAAAATTGCTTCTTTCTTGCAATACATTTTTCCTTGGAACATGGAGTGAGAGTTTTTTTATGCTCAGTGGCTTTAGTTTGATCTTGGTCTTGCTCAACCAAATCATACATGTTATGCAAATCATGTACTTGCTCTCATTTTTCTTAACTTACCAGGCAAATCTTTACTAACCCATCTAAGATTTCAGATACCACTCAACAGTTAGAAGCAATGGTTGGAGATATTGAAGATGCAGTTTTCTCTGTTGTGAATCAAAAAAGGGGAAATATACTCGCTTCAAATTGATCAACTCCGTCAGTTTCAACAGTAATGACATTATTCGGTATTATTTTTTCTTTATTAAGAATACATATTGCATAGTTAGATCAAAGATGGGACTGCACAGAAAATTTTAGTGTAGTCATTGAATGCAGGACCCAGGATCGAGGCAAGAAAAGTTCTTTCAAGCTGTAAGATCTATGAATTGAATTGAGGATTTGTTGGTCAGTCCTGTGAAGTTCCGACCTCAGTGGTTCCATCTTATGAAATCTCTGAATTCTAGAGTAGACAAAACATTGAATTTGCTCCAGCAACAAGTTCTTGCAGATCACCGAGCTCTTCTTTCATCTCTACGGTGGCCACCAAAAGTTTTTATGTCAAAAATAGAAAGTGGCAAGATCTCTATCCTTCCAAATCCATTAGTTTTGATGCAAGTAGACAAACAGAAGGCCTATTCTGAGAGTTTTCTAGAACTTTGTGCTTTGCAGCATTTGCAGACACGGAGGGAAGAGCGACAGCTTGGCCTTTGGGAAAAAAGAAGCTGAATACAGGGCTTTGGGCCATTGATGAACTGGTTTCTCCTATTGCGTCACGGTCAGAATATCACTTCTCGAAATGGGTTGATCAGCCTGAGTTTATCTTCGCTCTTGTGTCCAAGATTGCCAAAAATTTTGTTGGCGGAGTGGATGATGTTTCGCAGCCTCTCATTGATAGAGCAAAACTGGTGAGCTTGAGTGGTAAAGAAGCTTGGATATCCGTAATGGTCCAAACACTTTCTTCATTTTTAGCAAAGTGAGTTCTCTCTGTTCTCGTCAAAAGATACAAAGAGAAAAAGGAAAAATCGGAGATGATTTCTTCATGGCTTCATTTAATCGACCTTATGGTTAATTTTGACAGACAGATGATGTCATTTGTAAATTCAGAAGCTTATCTCTTCATGGAGGACTCTGAAATGCTTGAAGGATCGTCAAGAGGCTTATCTGTGTTCTCATTATTTTCTGATAGGCCTGATTGGCTCAAAATTTGGGCCAAAATAGAGCTCAAGGTTGGGAGAATGAAACTAAAAGAAGAATCGAAGCATGAGAGGGCGTGGTTGGTTGACACGAAAAACGAAATTGGATCTGCTGTTGACACGACAACTGAGCGGTTTCTTCTTTATAGTAGGGAGAATCTATGCTAACTTGCTTGGGAAATGATCGAGCGTTGCAAAACTTTACCAGGCATTTTGGCAAGGACCCAATTCATCAGATCAACTGCAGCTAAACTTGTCTTGTACCTTTTAAAATTACCGCTTTTGCAGTACAAGGAAATTGAATACCTCTCTACTTACTGCAATGATGACTCCTTGCTGAAACTATGTGCGGTGATCAATGCTGCTTGATACTGTGAATCTAAACTACAAGAATGGAGCGACGATGTTGATTTTCTGTAGATGAAAATTGCTGAAATTGATAAAAATCATCTCTGTAAAGGATGATATGAATGCTAATTCTCACTTCTTTGGGGAAGAAATAAAGAGTTTGGCTGATCTGGAGACAAAGTTGCTAATGGAAATAATTGGTGATCGTCTTCGTCAATTTGAGCCTCTTACCAAGGAGTATGTCCAGAGCAAGGAATGCTTCAAGCAAGAGGAGGATGATGATGGTCTACATAGAGCCTCAGAAGTCACAGATTTTTCTGTATCCGTTGACATTCTTGAAGCGTTGGATACTTTGAGAAGTGCGCTTTGTATAATTAATGCCAGTCTCAATCCAAAGGACTTTCGGATTTGTGGAGAAGCGTCACAGATGGGCTTGACCGATTCATTTTTGGCAGCATATTCACTAGTGATTATAGATTCTCTGAGAAGGGCACCAGTCAGTTTGGAGCTGTTATGCGAGCATTGTTCGTTGTTTTTCTGCCATTTAGTACTAAGCCTGAAGCATTCTTTCCTTTGGTTAGAAATTCTCTGAAATTGTTAGAAATGGATAGGCGAGATTTAGGGCGTTTGAATTTTTGTGGTGTTATGCACTTGTCATTTGATCAAGCTGACAAGATTTTGAGGAATAGAAAATTTTGAATTGCATCTAGAGAGTTGAGAAATGAGAATTGATTATATGTCTTTGAACTTTCATTTCATTTGTGTCAAATGAATGATATATAGGCATTTCACTTTTGGCAACAACAGTGGTAGTTTCAGTTAGTTGAATGGAATTAACCCCCTAAAAAAATTTGAATAGAAAGGAATAGTACATAATGGGTAGTGGGAAACTAGAGCGATGCTAGGGATTTAAAAAAAATTATTAAATTTTTTATATAATACTGACATGGGTGTCAGTTTTATATCATATAAGTATTGTGTAAAATTTTTGAAAACTTTATTGTGGTCTCTAATATTTTTGAGAAGACTATGACATCATAGCAGATACTTGTTTAATATGGAAGTATAGAGCTTGGAATGTATTTCATATTTGACACTGGTCTCTCTCTTTGGTTTTTTGTCCATTTTTCGAGCAAAACAGTTAATGCTAGACTATAGTCCTGCATAATGCTCACATAAAATGGAAAAGAGAGGAATGAACTCTCAATTCAGTAAGTGATAATTGAAGGCCAAAGAGTGAAAGGGACAATTTGCAATTTTTAGTCAATATATTTTGAAGGTTGTCATTAGCACTTATCTAATTTCTTTGGATCCTACAATGTTCACCCTTTTTTTTTTTTTTTGAGTTAATTATTTAAAAGTCTTATTTACAAATGTTATGATAGTTCAGGTTTTATCTAAGGTTTTTTGAACCAATGAGTCCTATATAGTAAAATTGAGAATATTATCAATTTTACATAGCAATGTTCTAAATAATTGTTTAATTAACTGATATAAAACCAGAGTATGAGATTAAACGTTTTTGTCCTTCTACTTATTGGTTTGATTCAACAATCCAATAAAATTGAGAACATTACCAGTTTTTTCCAATTTTAAAAATGAGAATATTATCAATTTTCTTTTCCAATTTTGCACATCAATATTCCATCATCATGCTCCTTTATAGATACAAAACTTTCAATTTTATACAAAAAAAATTTGGTTTTTTCAAAAACAGATATTAGGTTTTTTTTTTTTTTTTTGCACATAAATTGTTTTAAGTTTTTTCAATTTGAAAGTTGATGTTTTAAAGTTTTGCAAATCAAAATAAATGTCAAATCTTTATGTTCATTTATAGATAATTATAAATGATGAACAATTATTATTTGAAGGGTAATTTTAACTACTAAAAATTTAATGAGACTTGAAAGTCCAAAAAATCTTAGTCTAGGTCATGTTAAGCCTAGGTCATGTTAAGCCTAGGTCATGTTAAGCCTAGGTCATGTTAAGCCTAGGTCATGTTAAGCCTAGGTCATGTTAAGCCTAGGTCATGTTAAGCCTAGGTCATGTTAAGCCTAGGTCATGTTAAGCCTAGGTCATGTTAAGCCTAGGTCATGTTAAGCCTAGGTCATGTTAAGCCTAGGTCATGTTAAGCCTAGGTCATGTTAAGCCTAGGTCATGTTAAGCCTAGGTCATGTTAAGCCTAGGTCATGTTAAGCCTAGGTCATGTTAAGCCTAGGTCATGTTAAGCCTAGGTCATGTTAAGCCTAGGTCATGTTAAGCCTAGGTCATGTTAAGCCTAGGTCATGTTAAGCCTAGGTCATGTTAAGCCTAGGTCATGTTAAGCCTAGGTCATGTTAAGCCTAGGTCATGTTAAGCCTAGGTCATGTTAAGCCTAGGTCATGTTAAGCCTAGGTCATGTTAAGCCTAGGTCATGTTAAGCCTAGGTCATGTTAAGCCTAGGTCATGTTAAGCCTAGGTCATGTTAAGCCTAGGTCATGTTAAGCCTAGGTCATGTTAAGCCTAGGTCATGTTAAGCCTAGGTCATGTTAAGCCTAGGTCATGTTAAGCCTAGGTCATGTTAAGCCTAGGTCATGTTAAGCCTAGGTTATGTCAAGCCTAGGTCATGTTAAGCCTAAGTCATCTCAAACCTAGGTCACACCTTTGAACCTCTTACACTTAGGACCATCTTGGAACCACCTTGGTTGACCTCCCTCGTCACCTAGGCATATTGGCCGAGATGTCATCATCTAGGCCGAGATGTGTATCATCTAGGCCGAGATGTTATCATATAGGCGTCCTAGATCTTTGATCCTTGCACTTAGCGATCTTGTTCCGGGACTGGTATGACCTAGAACGAGGTGTGGCACATCTAGGCCCAGGTGTGGCACAGCTAGGTCAAGTGTTATCCTTCCTAGCCGAGATCATTGAGATCTTACTTGTCGAAGCCTATGTCTTGATCCGAGATCCTTGCCTTGTCAGAGTGCCCATGTCATCTTACTTGTTGTACACACTTTGTCATATCCTTATCTTTTCACTCAGGCACCTTTTTGAGGAAATCCAATTCGGTAGTGCCACGTGTCCCAGCAGAGGGTTAAGTCAGCCGACAGTAGAGAAAACATATCATTTGCTACATCTTTGTCCTAGAAGAGAGAGAAGCTTTAGGAAGAGAGGAAGAAGGAGTTTTTAGAGTGAGAGAGCTAGATTCCAAGCTTGATCCTTAGAGTTTGAACTGTTTAATCCGTGTTTTGGGGTTAGATTCTTGATCTACTCTTGTTGTTCTTTATATTGATCTAATCGCATTGCATGATCTAGCATGATTCATAAGCCATGCATTGATTTAAAGTTTGGTTTTAGAAAGAGAAAATGATGTTCTTGTGTTCTTGAAGAAAAACCATGTTTTGATCCGAAAGTTTGTAACAAGTTTCATATTTTTGTGTTTGTTTTCATGAAATCTCCAAGTATGGGTACCCAGGTCCATATTTTTGAACTCATATTATGAAATCTCAGATTTTGGAATAAAAGTTATGAATCTAGTATTCATGTTCTTCATGGTCATGTTCTTTATGTTCTTCAAGTTCTTCAAGGGAGGAAACCCAGATTTCCAGACTACACCTTTCCCTAGGTGTGGTCACCGAGACCACTCTTGCCTAGATCTCACACCTAGGCCAAGCATCGTATCTCACCTTGGCTTACCTTGCATGATTACTTGCACCATTAGTCTATCTTGCATGCACACCTAGGCTAACCACTGTATACCTAGGCCGACTATGGTACACCCTTGCCGGCACCTTGTAACACCTCGGCAGGCAGCTGCACACCGAAGCCTAGGTAACCACACCTTGGCCAAGAGGTGTGGGACCTCGGCCAAGACCTCCTGAGTTCACCCAGCTTGGTCATTTTAGCCTAGATCATCTCTGTGCATCCATTCCAAGACCTGGTTGGTACCTAACATGTTTTCCCTATATGAAAAACAGTGATTTAACTCCCAGCACATGTTTTACTTTGTCTTGACTTGGTTTTGGAAAGAAATGCCAGGATCATTTGCACTCATGTAAAGCTTATTTTGAGAATGCATTTCATATCCATCTTTGAGCGTCTCTTCTTGTCTTCTTGAAGTGCATTCAATGGGATTTATTATGTACTTGTAGGTCTTGGATTCTTGCTTTAATCCCTACACCCGAAGAGTTATGTGAATGGTATTTTTAATAAAGCTATGTTATAATGTTTTGATAAAAGCTTTGCTTTGTTTTGGAAAAGTATTTGATCAAGTATGAATGATTATCCCTAGTTTTTGTATCAAGTATTATGTTTGTTTTGATGACATTCTTGGAAAGTCCTTTCGTGCTAGGGGACGTTAAGCCTATGCAGCACCTTTGTTGAGATATCTCTTTTGCCATCGACGGTCTTGTATCGGTGGATTTGTCTAATCGATCTCGGGTCGGCCACCGACAGTCGTGAACGGGTGTGCTTTGATTCCGAGACGATTATTCCCTTGTTTTGCCATCAACGGTTTACCGGGTGGGTTGTCTAACCGATTTCGGGTCGGCCATCGACGATCGTGAACGGGTGTGCCTCGATTTCGGGACGGTTATTCCCTTGTTTTGTCCGGAATATCATCCTTTGGTATTATGTAGATGTTACTAACATCCAAGAAGCTTTGAAAGACTTTGATTGATGAACTTGATTCATCCCATGTTTTGTACAAGTTATTATATGTATTGTTTTGATAAAGACCTCGGATATCATTCATTCAAACCTTTATTACTTATATTATTCACTGAGTATCCAAGCTCACCCTCCCCTTTATATATATGTAGGTGGAAAGCAAGAAGGCAATGACGCCTAAGATGTTATTTGCAAGATGTTTTGATTCATGTTTTGTATCATCTTGAAGATTATGCTTCTTAGTTTGTAATTCATTTTTTTTGTATATTTTGCCTTGAGAAGCCTTTTGATCAAGATGTAATATATACTCCATTTTATTTTGTATTCAAGTTGTAAAACCATGTTAAGATGTATGTCATTTCATTTGATCTATGCACAGTTCTTATGGACTAAGATTTAAATTTATTGCTTCTGCATATGTAAGCCCCATATGTATACTTTGATTGTGTGTGAATCTTTGTAAGTTGGCCTTTGGTAATCTCGGATTACTGTCCATCACGGCACCATTCTACTAGGGGTGGAATGGGGTCGTGACACTAGACGCGCCCGTGGGCCTCAGTGCTACAGTTTGGACTCAAATGTAACGGTTCTGAATCTAGTCTCGCAAAGTGCAATACAAGACCGATAAATCACCAAAGAGTCCAAATCCGGCAAATCGTTTTGGAAAACTAATTTTTGTAAAGAAGTACCAAACATGAACTGCTTTGCCAGATACAGAGTCGCCACCTAAATATTTTATTTTGGGGGAATTTAGGAAACCCTGACTCGGCCTAAGGCCACGTGTCCGTCATCACCAAAGTTGCCTCGGCTCGGGAACTTGGGTACGATTGGGGAAGGTCATCTATGAGCACCCCTACTCGCCCAATCAAAGATCGGCCTACACTAAGCATGATATTTTGTTTTTGAAAACACATGTGCTCTTATTCCGGTTAATTAGCTAGTCTTACTATGTGATGCGCACAACAAACAAGTATAGACTAGATCGCCTAATTTGGAACAAAACATTGCATATCTATTTGTTTGAAAAATGGTTTGAAGCCTGCTACTCGTAAGTAAGCTAAATTGAAGATTTCAATGAATTGTTCCAATTCAAGTAATCTAACCTCCACCCACAGGCATTCAGGCAGTTATATCAACTAAGTAGTTAACCTCATGGG